AATGTCTAAATAAAATAACTGAAGTGTGACCAGTGCAATTTAGATAAGTTCATCAACCTCCCCAGCATTTTGAAGATGCCTGATGGAGTACTTGCCTTCCCTTGCTGGCTTTTATCCTCTCTCATCCTGAACTTTGACTCCAAGACTAATTCTTGTCATCATTGGTTTCCCATCACTAGCTCTGCCAACTGCTGCCCTCTTTGTACTGATTTCCCCAGAATGTGGTGCATGCCTTCTTCCTCTGCTATCCTCTCATAGAGAATTTATGACCATCCAACTCTCTCTTTGTAGCTAAGGACCAATCTATTTCTTCTTTTACCTGATTCCTCAACAGTCCCAACAACTCCTATCTCTGGAGCCCAGAGAGAACACTTTTTTAATGCTGATTATTTTAGTTCCCTTTGTTTTGGTATTCCCATGCATTCTACAACTTGGACCCTAACTTTCCTATCTAAACTTTGAGTGTATTTCCCTAAACATATAATTTTTTTCCTTTTCTCCCTCTTCTCTTGTTTCCAGGTTGTAGAAAGGACTAAAGTGAGGTTCAAACAAGCACTTTTTGCAATTACTTTACTGCATTTATATTCTCAAAGTTTAGATGTGATGTCTCATGTCAAAGCTGGACATGTGAGGTCCTTGGTATATGGTGACACTCAATAATAACCAACTCTTTCTTGAAGTAATAATCTAATGAACATTTTATGTGTTGTTCTACTTTTTCATCTTGTGATACTTATGAAGACTCCCATAAATTTCCTCTTGAACCACAAGACTCACTCCAAACAAACAAACAAACAAACAAGACACAACACAATAAAGTCCACTTTGTGAATGCTCTCATCAGCAAGCAAACAAGTTTACACTCCAGCTGGCTTCGTAGAAACACATGATGGTCATTTAACTCAGAGAGTCTGTTTCCTCTTTCGTAAAATGAGGAAGTTGGCCTAGTTTATCCGTAGTTTCCTTCCAGTTTTAACACATTGCCTCTAAAAGTTGATGGGGGAGGAGATATGGGATTAAACCCAGGAAGTAGAGAAGGCCAGCTAATTATATCTGTAGCTCCAACCATCTGCTGCCATTCATATAACAGGCAGCTATTTGCCTTTTAGTGATTGGTGATCTTAACTCTTCAGCTTAAGAAATATGTGAGTACTAACGTTGGTTTAACCACTAAGCAATCCTCATATTTCCCCTTTCCCTGAAATGAGACTATTACTATCCACCCCTATCTCATTTGATAAACAAAATGTTTCTATTAAAAGTGTCAGGAATAGTATAATTCAAGTTTGGGAACTGAAAAAAAATTTTTTTCCTCAATTATAAATTAAAAAATTTTTCCTTTCTTCTGTTATTGTTCCAAAACTACCCAAGAAGAACTTAAAAATTAGTAAATGGAGGGTGGTTGTGCAGAAAATTTAAAGAAAAAAATGCAGAATTTTTGTCTGAGGTTAACAAATTTTGGCTAGCTTTAAAATGTTAAAAGAATTAAGTTGAAGCACCATCTAGTGGCTCTTAATTGTGTTTTGTTTAAAGTTGTTCCCAATTTTTCTCAATTCAGGACCACAATTAGTTTTTTTAAAATATATTTTATTGATTTTTTTTGCAGAGAGGAAGGGAGAGAGATAGAGAGTTAGAAACATCGATGAGAGAGAAACATCGATCAGCTGCCTCCTGCACATCTCCCACCGGGGATGTGCTCGCAACCCAGGTACATGCCCTTGACCGGAATCGAACCCGGGACCTTTCAGCCCGCAGGCCGACACTCTATCCACTGAGCCAAACCGGTTTCGGCAGGACCACAATTAATTTATTGAATATATATACATATGTGTTCAGAAAAGAAAATATGTGTTTTTTTTTTATCTTAATGCAGGGCTAGGAAGTTGAGAGGAAGTAGCTGCAGCTTTTTACTGTCCTCTAACCTAACATCACCTAGAAAATCATGACAGTGAGAATGCTATAGAGAAAGAGCATGAATTCAGAGAAATCGTTTTCAGGAGGAATGGAGTCCTTTCACTGGAAAAAGGATTAACACAATAAAGTCCCATAGATTTCAGTTCCTCTGTTTCTCCTACTCACATCCTCACATCCTTCCTATGAGCACACAACAGTATATTTATCTTCCCAATCCTACCATGCAGACATGTGATTATTAGGTGATCTTTGCACACACCCCAGATCTCAAGCCTTTTCATACCACCACATCCCTTAAATTTACATAACAAGCAATTCTGCTATCATAGAGATGGCTCTCATATTTGTGATTTCTATCTTCTGAAGTCATGTACTTCATTATTGCTAGAAGAAGAATAGAAATGCACATGAATAGAGCATGAGCTGCTGTTGCAATGTTGACAGCAAACCTTGAGATTGGCAAACTAGTTATTTGTATCAGTCAGAATTAAGTTAAACTGTTAAATTCACTAAAATAACAGTGGCATGAACAAGATAGTTTATTCACTTTCTCACAAAAGAAATTTACATGTAGGTCATTTAAAATTTAAACTGTCAATCCATGGTCATCAGAGTCCAGAATTCTTCCAGCTTGGTTTTCCACAATTTTAGTGGGTGGCTTCCATCCTCAATGTTCCCCTTGGCCCAAGTTGGCTGCTGGACCTTCAGTCATCACATCAATGTTGAAGTCCAGGTGATATGGAAGAAAAGCCAAAGAGGACTTCTTTTTTCTCTTTAAAGAGCTTTTTCAAAAATCATCAAATGATTTATGCTCACATCTCATTTGGGAAAAGTTTTTTGGGTGGTCACACTCAGCTGCAAGGGAAACTGAGAAATATCTTTTAGCCAAGTATGTCCCCACACTCAATAAAATTGGAGTTATGTTATTAAGCAATGCATCAGAGACATATGTCACAACAATGCTGTGTAACAAACAACCATAAAACCTCTGTGATAAGAATTGCTCAAATATTTGGGAAACCAGTCTAAGTCAGAGTTCACAGTGCTCAAATGTCAGATAGGCAGCTCTTGTGACCCTACTGAACTCCTTCTCTTGCCCAGGAGGTAACTAATTATTGGATTGTCTAGGCTGGCCTCAACGGTGAGAGGGTGGGAGGACCAGGGTAAAGTTAGCTCTGCTCTACATGTTTCTCATCCTCCGGAAGACTAGCCCAGGCATGTTCTCATGGAATATCATGTAGAAATATGCAGGATCTCTAAGAGTTTGGATCAAGACTGGTACACTACCACTTATACCATATTTGAATGGCCAAACTACATTGCATGGGGTAGGGGGAGGGTATCACTCTTTTTATGGAGGGAACTCTAAAGTCACTGAAAAATTACATGAACTGAAGGAGAGGTGAAGATTTGGAGTCATGAATATAATCATCCACCACAAGGAAAAAGGGGAAGGTGAGCACTGAACCAGGCAACTAGCAATCTGTGCTACAGCATTTTCAGTCTGTCACAGAATTGTATTACTAGACACTTTTGTGTCCTATGCTCTGTTTTAAAAATGAGGAAATTATTATAAAAGGAAAATAGAGGAAAGAGCTAATGCAAGTCATATATGACATTATTTACTAATTTAATTATTTCTTGACTCATGTTCTAATGGAGTATGTATTAATCTTAGCATTTGCCTATTCTTACCATAGGCAGAAAATGGCTAAATGTACCCGAAACCTGACCCTATTTAATCCAAGACAGCTACACTACATTTTCCAACTTCCATAGAAGTTAGTGTGACCATAGGATAAGTCTCCAGCCAATGGAATGTGAGAGATGTGATTACTACTCCAGGCCTTGTTCATGAAAACCTCCCCCGCCAAAATTTCTCTCTCTCCCTCCCTCTCCTCCATTTATCACTGAATGGAAATACTCTGAGGCAGAGACATAGGATAAATGCTAACTTAGAGAACCACTCTTGCCTCCTGCCCTAGCCTCAACAACCTGCACTAGAATATGAAATGAGCAAGAATTAATGTTTTGTGGTATAAATACACTGAGATTTTCCAGCAATTACACTATCCTACTTATATATAGTATCCTCCAAATAGTATGCATTCATGTCTTCCCTTAAAGTATTGCTAAAAAATAAAATTAATATTCCAAACCACCTGCCAATTTACATAAGAAGTTTTTTTATTTAAATAAAAGAACACTTTTGCATAGCCAGGGTGTGTCTCAGTGGTTGAGCATCGACCCAGGAATCAAAAGGTCACCAGTTCGATTCCCAATCAAGACATATGCCTGGATTTGTGGGCTTAATCCTCTGTGGGGGTTGTGCAGGGGCAGGAAGCAGCTTATGGATGTTTCTCTCTCATCAATGTTTTTTTTATCCCTCTCCCTTCATCTCTCTCTGAAAATCAATAAAAACATTTTTAAAAAAGAACACTTTTTACTAAAGGATTGCCATATGTATCAGTGAAGAAAGGGTTTCAGTTTACAGTGGTCCTAGAAGATGGTAGTGTTTCATTAAGCATTATTACTCTTAGAACCATTAACCCATGCTAACCTGGAGTGAAGATAAAGGAGAGCTGAGAAAGAGACTTGAGACACTGGAACTCTGAGCAGTAAGGTGAAACTCAGCTCTGCTTCCAATGACTCTAATAACTCCTTATTTGGGATCAACTTATAATTTTTTTTCAGAAATGCACATAGTGCTGGAAATAACTCCTATCCGTTTATTCAATGATCAGTCTAAACATGCAATACAACAACCCCACTAACTGTCAGCAAGTTAGGGGGAAGGGGGTGGGAAGTCAGCTATGAGCTGACTCGAAGACAGTGTTTGTAGTTGCCCCTGCCATTGCAACATTGATTAGCATCTCAAGTGGGCCAAAGAACAAGAAGTTAGGACAGTGATTTTCAACCTGTTTATCTCATGTCATACATAAACTAACTACTAAAATTCTGCAGCACACCAAAAAATATATTATATTTTTTGCTGAACTGGCAAAAAAAATAGGTATAATTTTGATTCATTCACACCAGACTGCTATTGTTGTGTTGGCGATTGTCATTTTTTTATTTGACAGTCTAAGGGAAAAGAAGTCAGTGCCCCTAACTAGTCAAGTAAACATTTTAAAAATCCTTACTGCACACGGGGAAATCGCTGCGCTAGGATGAAAGCACTGTCCAAAGAACCCAAGGGTTGCAGAAAACTGCACAGAATTGTTGTAGGCTTTTGCTGAGTCATCTTCCTCTTTAGGGTGAGAAGCAGGGTACTTTCTCATTTTCAAATAAAACTAACCAGAGCAAAGGTGAAAGTAGATGAGTCATCCTAGACATTTATAATGGCAGGCAGCAAGGTTTGCATGTATGTAGTTTGAAACAGGCCTTGCAAATCATTACATTGGTTCTCATAAACACAAAGGTATCAGGGTAACAGGAGCAGTTGAGCTAGATGTTGAATTTGAAGGCTGATTCCAACTGAATGCATTTTTGTGATATCTCATCAAATTTAAATTAACGTCCAGATTTTTTATTCTCGTGCTCTAGGAAAAAGAAACATAAGGCATACAATTACTCAGGAATAAATACAAGCCTTCCGAAGTACAGAAACTTGGAAGTAAACACTTAGGTCCCCCATGGAATTCTCAAACGGTGGTCTAGGATAGGTCACTGCTCGGAAAAAAACTACAGTAAAGCAGAAGCTCTTATTCCAGCAATGCCTACCTTTGCCCTGGCTCTCAGTTGTTAAAAAAAAAAAGCTTTACGGAGGGGGCGGGGGGGGGATGGCGGAGGTATAGACGGACATGTCCCGTGCTTTGTCCCGGAGCTGTTAGGGTGAGCAGCTGAAACGGGTAACATACAGCCCAAATAAACAGAGGATATTCAGCTGAGAGACAGTTTGCAGCCAGGAAAGGTGGAGGAATCCTGGAGAAAGCAGATTGAAAGTTAGAGACTGCAGCTGAAATCTCTCCCAGATCGCTGGCTCAGCTGCAGAGACTACGCCATCTTGAGTGGCTGTTTTTTGGAAACGTATACTGTACAGCCAAAGACCCGGCATCCAGAGATCGGCTGCTAACCCCAAGACACCGGATCTGGGACAGCACGACTACGTGGAGTCCTGTTTCTCATGGAAAGGTCAGGTCTCGCCTGAAGGTGGGGTTGGCAATTCAGGTTGGGGAGAGGAGTGTGCACGGGAAGGTCTGCGCCCCACAAAGATCGTGGCCTTTGGGGCCAGCGTGTTCCACGAGTGTGGAAGAGCCCCCACAGGCCTGCTGTCAAAAGGGAACACTTAAAATTAGCCCATAGCTGGACTGGATGCAAAAAGGCAACCTCAGATTTTGCCTGTGTGCAGGCTACTCAATGTAAGGAGAGAGAGGGTGTGCGGAAGAGACTGTGTGGGCGGGAAGGTGCAGGGTTGCGAATTCACGCAACTCCGCAGACTCTTGCTTTTTTGTGTGTGTGTTTTTTTTCTTCGTTTTTTTTCTTTTTTTCTTCTTTCTCTTCTCCTTAAATCCTTGCGTTTGATTATTAAACCCAGTGCATGGGATTTCCTAGTTGTGGAAACTCGCAGAGACTGCAGGGGAAAGTTGACTTTGTGGAAACTGGGAAACAGAGTGGGGTACCGATAAAAGAACCAGCTTTGGGCAGTGGAGTTCCAGAAACAAGTTTTAAGTGCAATAGAGAAAATAAACCCCATCTTTTGGATAGTGAGGCTGTATAGCCTCGGAGGTCAATCCAGAAACACTGCCACCCAAAGGCTGAGTCACAAACTAATTCTTATGTAAATACAAATTAAGGCAGTCTGGGAACAAATATGGTCTGCTTTAAAATCAGGACTGTGATTTACAACACGGAGGAACAGTGTATCGCAGGGAAATTCAACAGTCCTCTGAATACCTGGAAGGACTAAGGCGAGCCAGACTGAAGAGTAGAAGAACCGAAGGACCTTCACTACTGCAAATTTTTTTTATTCTTTTTTCTCACCTTCACCTTTTAACTAAGAAACCAATTTTTTTCTTCTTTTTCCATCACCTGATTTTACCCTTTTAATTACTACATTTTTATTTTTAACCAGTATTATTACTGCTACCATTTTACCATTTTTTAATTTCCATCACGATTTTACCCTTTTAATTACTACATTTTTTATTTTTAACCAGTAGTATTACTGCTACCATTTTACCATTTTTTAAAGTGCCATTTTATTTTCTCTTTATTTTATTTTGGAATTAGTGTTCTCCATTCTATTTTCATCATTCCTTTAGCATCATTTTTATCTACCTCAATTTTACCTCTATGCTAATACCCTCTTCCTCACTTTTCCCCTTTTGTTATCCTGTTTTTCTTACCCTATTCCTGCTTTAGATTTTCCCTATTCCTTCTTTTAACCTCCTGTCAAAATTTCACCCTACTTATATATCCTATTTCCAATCCACTGCTCTAAATCCTTGTACACCTCTCCCTTATCTCTCATCATTATCCAAATTTTTTTTCTTTTATCTTTCTATTGTTTTGTTGCTGTTTGCTTGATTGTTGAGTATATTGGTTTTTGGTGTGTTTTTTTTAGGATTGGTTGTGAGGCTGTTATGCTTTTTCTTTTTCTTTTTCTTCTGTTTTTTTTTCTCCCCTGCCCCCGCGCCGCCC